AATTGTGTGACTTACTTTTGCTTATATATTTGAGGTTTGCAGTATTCAGGCAACAGTTGTCACCCTGGTTGTCAAGATCAGATGTTAAAAATCACGAGCAAGAATCAATGCCAAACTGAGGTCAATCTTCCACAAAAACTTTATTGGAGTTTTCTCGACGAACATAGATTGTGTGTTTATAAAAGAGCCTTCCTGTGGTCCAGCCTACCCATGCGTCCAAACGATGTGGACTTACAGGAGTGCGCCAATCTCGGTGTAGGATGAGAAAAGCAGCCAATATGTTGTTTGGAAGTCGCATATCTCGTCTGGGAGTTGTTTTAGCACTGCAAACGGAGCCCGTGCAAACTTCCCCGGAGTGATCTCACTGACTACGAATGTTACATGGACAGTGCTGCAGCCTGGTCCCTAAACAGCAACACAAAAAGACCTAAATTAAAGCTGGTGTCCTTAACTTTGCTTTTGTTGTTTTTTTCTGATATCCTCGTCCTTCATTTTTCTTGAAAGTAGTTAGAAACGTTATAGTCATATGTGTTTCTTTATGCCTTTTTGGGCTGAGAGCTGATTGGCTGCTGCAGGATTATGCACCCTGATGCACTTTGTGTGTGATAAAAGCCGCTCTGTGGTTGTGCTGGTGACCAAACATTGATGTAGATGTGACAAAGAAACAAGTCAGGTGGAAGTTAGAATAAGGTGAAAAATCCTAAAATGTTTAACAGTTTACTTGATACTTGTTTACTCCTCTCAAATCAAGTTCATAAGTAATTTGGCCCAAATATAATTTATCTCTGTGTATGCGGGTTTAACTAAGCTGCAAGTGTGATTCTCAAAACAGCATTTGTGTGTATACATGTAAACATCTATTGCTTGCAAACAACATTCAAATGTATTGTCCAAACCACTCCACCATCGCTCATGGCATTTTTACAGTGAAACTAAACAATAAACTATGAATAGGCATTATATATTCAACGCTTTAAGCACGTGACCTTTTCAAAATGGTGCAAATATTGGGACTAAAATGTATGGGAAGTCTATAGTTTTGAACACATTTGGGACACATGTCTTAAACCTGGGATTGTCCTACAGGCCATAAAGATACTGGAATATATTTATTTTAATGATAATGTAACGATAATTCAAAATGATGGACACAAAATTCATGACACATAATCATTGACCAGCGTGAACGCCACATCATGTAATTTAAAGAGATCATAATCAAATTTGAATAACCAATATTATTAATATTTTTTACTCAAGAATAAGGTTTTATTGGAATTTGGAATGACTGATAAGAGAAATTCCACCCACAAAAATCTGTTAGCGAAAGTTACTATATCTTGGTATGGTCATTTTTAACGTCAAAATTGACCAATCTTCAGCGCTAATCTTGAACATGTACAAGACAGATTTTTTGTATTATTATTTGCAATAATATCAGTATAGACAAGGAACATATTAGTTATAGGCTTTTGGTGGAGGTTGATTAGATACATTGGTATTGTCTGGGTAGAAAAAACACATTGGCCACTTTTCCCAGGCCTTACAAAACATCTGTCAATTCCTTTTCCCTTCTTCACTAGTCTATTGCTGTACTATTGACTAGTTTCAATCAGCTAACAAAGCAGCTTGCTTCCTGACATCTTGCTTATGCTCCTTATCAGCTCTTTGACATCAAACACATGGATAAAATCATCCAAAGTGCGCAGGGATAAAAGCAGTCGAGGTATGCCCCCCCCCCCCCCCCCCCCCCCCCCCCCAAAAAAAAAAGCACATAAAAGGCGATCCGTGCACGTTACTATCTGTGGTCAGTTGAAAGGGCCAAGGACTTCCTCCCCACTTTGGTCTGGTTTGGTACATTCTGGTAATTGCAGGCCGTTGGATTTTCTCTGATGTTTAAGATGGAAGGATTTCAGACCCACCCTACCTACAAATGCAAAAAGATAGATAGCGAGTGGAGTTTTGGCCAGCAAGCGTGTTTTCAAAGTGCAAGTGGAAAAGGAGGCCGGTAGCTTCGTTGTCAAATCTGGCTTAGCTTGACTTGCTACACATTCAACAGGTTGATTATGTCCGCAAGAGATGATAAGAACAACTTTTTGGCTGCGTGCCTTGGCAAGAGTCCACGGCAGCTTGAGCTAAAAGCCACACTGCATTCACTGGAAGGCCAAACAAGTTAAGGACTGGACACATGAAGTTACTCACTTTTTGAAGCAATTTTTACGTTTTTGGAATCCCATATTTGGTTTATCTTCCAATATTCCTGAACATTTTCAACGTTCTCTTGTGAATTCATACACTTTCCCTAGTTTCTCTTCACCACATAATGTTAATTATTTTCAAGTCTTTCCACACAAAAATATGCTTAATTTTGTGAACTTCTGCTTGTGAATTCATGGTCCCATACAATGAATAGACTACATCGTAAACTATTTCTCTCATTTCAAAGAGGTTGATCTAATCTTTTTGAGATCTGCAGTTTTTTCATGATAGACTGTGCCTCAACATTTAGAAAAAATGAAGCCATTCTGTTTATATTTCAGAATTGTGTCAGAAACAGAACAGTTTCGTTTCAAATATTGCCATTATTTGCCAAATCTGCTTTTCCAAAAGACGTCCTACGACCTGCAACAACGAAATGTCTTCTCTCCATATCTATTAAGCTTCAATGCATGTTTGTTTTACAGTACGTTTAGCACGAGGGATTACCGCCTACTACTATTTCAAAGCTGTGGATTTTGACGATTTGGTTACACTTACCAGATCTGTGTGTGTGTGTGTGTGTCCCTGTAATCATGGGAGAGGCCCGAGTGCTTTACAATGAGCGTTTGTTGTCAAAGATGAGCTTGGACGTAGCCTAGCCGCTCCAACACCCCACCGGCCCAGGGGTAATGGGGCTGATCATGTTCGGAAAGCCTCCTTTTTCTCACGGATAGCGACGCTCATCACTGTTCTGTCCAGTCGGCCTTCGTTAGCTTATGGTAGCGTTTGGCGCGGCGGAATACTGTAGGTTGCAAAGACCCCGGCTGTCAACGTCTTGAAATAGTAAAAAGCAAATTGTTTGATTTTGGCAGATAATAGAAAAATAAAATAGCTTGAATACATACTTAAGTACATTTTTGTTGTAGCTCTATGGGAAATGTACTGTTTTTGAAAGACTTTTTCAATCTTCTGAGATATAGGCTAGCAAATATAGATTAATTTATTGTTTGCTTATTAACGCTGACAAATACGGCGTTAAATATTGTCTTCGTGGATAGACTAAAATACAAACAAGTTCAGTAATAAAAGAGGAATTTCAGAAGAATCTTTCGTGTTATTTTGCTTTCAGAACTTGCAGAGCCCGAAGCGAGTTTGACCCGATTTGCTTAGCTCCGACCATGCTAACACTTTACCAAAAAAATCCAAGAAAGCTGTCAAGAGCTGATTTCAAAACATATCTATACACGCCGTCTTTTCGTTGTTTTGATTGATAGTTTGGATAGTTGAGGTCTCAGATTCAATGTACACTAAGTAGAAGCTCATATTGAGAACGCCGTTTGAAATGCTAGCAAAAACATTGTGCTGTTCTTGTAATGCTGGGTGCTAGCCAGTGGAACCGACTCCAAGCGATGACCGAAGAGTTGCATCATAGGAGCACACGACACAGCTATAGACCGCCGAGCCAAGAGTGCAATTGGATTAGAGTTATGTTCCGTTTAAGAAAGAGCGACCAGATCCAAAAACAACTGGGAAAAGTGTTGGTGTAGCTGAGATGTAGTCGCAGAGCTAGTTTCGCCTTCCAAACAACAAATCAGGCTTTTTACAACACGGTGGAGTAGTAGGGCGTTTAAACAGTGATGAATTTACAATATCAAAAAGGTTATTGTTTTGTTTTACGGGTTTAGCTTTCAAAAATAAACTTTCAAAAAGACAAGAAATAACAAAATAAAAAATAGTTCCAGGCTAGCGGGTAGTTTTCATCTTTAGATCAGTTTTTTCCAGACAGAACAGGGGAATGGCAGTTTCTTACAACTATAATTCAACATGTTTCCTAATATATGAAAGGAGCATATCGTGGTCTAGTTTTACAAGTTTTATGTTGTTATTTTCATGTTGAAAAGAAAATATGTACCCAGCTTCAAAGGCTTTTATTTTAATTTTATTTCATGTAAGCCATATTGCTTACCCATACGCAGGGACAGGGACATAAGTTCGGTGATATGATGAAAGAAAATTATCTCGGGAATTGGCTTTTAGCACCCACCAAATATTCCATCCCAATGATTTATAAGGTTCATCATTAATCACATTAAAATGGGACAGGCCTTTAGTTAATTCACTCTACCAAAACAATAGCTACCAGATTTTTTTTTGTTTTTCTTTTTATTTGCGATTTTACCATACCATGAGTACTCTTAGCTTATTTGTGAATTTATACCATGGATCTATTATGATAACATAAGGGTGAAAATGTCTGCTCTCTCAAGTGGCAGTGTGCGAGTGCAGACATTCTATAAACTTGCAAATGTTTATTGTTGAAAAAATATAAATACCAAGATAGGGTTAGAACTAGCTATTTTGTGACAATTAGGGCATTGGGATTTGTGTTTTAATTGTGCCTAGGCAGAAATGGTTTGGGGAGAAAATGTAGCCTACTGCAGAACAATACTTTTTTTTATTTTTTTTACCATCTTATAACATTTCGTTGCACTATTTGGCACAAGTGAATGTAATCCTGCTTTTATCCATGCAGTGAGTGAGTCATGGTCAACAAAGTTTAATAAGTACACTTAAGACACACCTACAAACATTTGAATTATTTGTAAACTTTTTAAATGTTATGAAGCAATGTTTGAAGCAGCATCACATCAATATAAAAATGCAATTTAATGTAAAAATAGTGGCAATTGTGAATAAAACAACTAAAAGTTTTCTCTATTCAAATTTATCCTACTTCAAAGCAGCTATACATTCAATGCATTGATTGTATATTTTCAACTTTTTACTGACTAAACTTAGATATGTTCCTGCACCGAAACCAGGGCAAGGCGTTGGAGGTGTGCAGTCCGTCTTGTGCTACATACCTCCTAACATTCCAGTTACAGTAAATAGCCTGCTTAAGCCCAGAGCCAAAATGATAAGGCTCAAAGACACACTCCTGCCTGTCGCTATGAACCATGTTGGTTGGATTTTGTAACTTAAACTTAAACCACCAGTAACCAAGTAGTGAAACCAAAGGGGAGAGCGCTTGTCTATCAATTAAAATATTTGAATTAATTTTGTCCAATTAGAAAGCAGGGTGGAGAAGCAGGTTCAATTACTGCTCTTTCTATGGTTCTAAAAAGCAATCAATATTCAATTCAGATTACTTTTCATTTAAGTAAAGCAGAATTATTTGATAATTTGCTTATTTTCAAAGTCTGATTCCAGTTTGAATTGAATTTCCAGTAATTGAAGAATAGTTTGAGTCACCCTCTTCTCATGTTATCAATTCTGCTCTTTTAACATTGTAACATATTCGATACAGACATTAGAGAGTTACAGAGTTATTCCACCAGAAAAAGACTCTACTATTGGTAATTTCAAAAGTACCCATTGTACGAATTATTAAATTGTCAAGAAATAGGTGCCTTTTTACTAAGAATTCTGCTCATTTTGATCAAGAGGTATTGCATTTTTAAAAAAAGTTGATTAAACGCAAATTGAGCACGCAAACTCTAGTTCAAACATAAAAAGTACATATACCTGCTGTTTGAAAAGAGATTTTGAACAGAAGGGGTGGGGAGACGTTCCTCACATTAGCATGGATTGTGCTAAATACAACTGCAGGTCATTAAATGCATTATCAACAAGTTATTATACGGCTCCTCACAGCAGCAGTAGAACGCTCCATTGATTTGAATGTAATTTCAAAACGTTCTACCGGTCATTATTTTCTATAACGGACCTCTCAAAACAATAATGACCGCTGCCCACGGCAACGCACTCTCTGCTTGTATTTCAAATGCGTGGATAACTCCGCAAGTAGTTCCGGCCACTCCTGAGCTAGCCACGCTCAATCAACACACTTAAATGTTAATCGGAGAATACTTATACATACACATTCTTCACACACGTGCACGGAAATTTTCAGAATTTTCTGGTCTTGTCTTCGTGACAAAAATACTATTTCTCTGCGTCAAAAAGCGATCGTGAAAAACCCGGAAGTAGTTCTGGCCGCTCAATAAACGCAAATGCCAATCAGTCAACGCAATGAAATGTTTATCGGAGAGTGAATTATACATATACATTCTTAATACAAGTGCACGGAAGTTTTCAGAATTTTCCGTTTACGTTTTCATGACGAAAACACTGATGTAATGCGAGAAAAGGCGATCCCAAAAAACCCGGAAGTAGATACCGGCACATTTTAAGATACCGGCACATTTTCGGACACATTTGCAGAGGATCGAATTATGGATTTAGGTTAGGTTTATGTATGTCACTCACCGCTGATGTTCAGAATTCTTTGTTCAGTTTTCATGCAGTTCCAGAGAGTTCTAGTTTGGAAGTTGCCAGCCTAACTGTTGCTAGCATAGCCACAATTGTCAAAGCCACACTGCCTGCCCGCGGTTGCCGAGCAACGGGAAAACTTTTTGGGACTACTTTATTTGTTGTCATTAAATAAACTTTTGGCATTCATAAAAGTGATCTGAAGTTTATTTTGTGTGTTAAGTTGGTACAAAGCAGTATAATAAGCGGGATAATGTATAGCATACAGGTCATTATCGGAAAATAAGTACCTTCAGGGCGGAAGCAGACCCCTCCGCGTCGGGGTCCGCTTCGCCCTGTCGGTACTTATTTTCCGATAATGACCTGTATGCTATACATTATCCCTTACATAATGTGAATCAAAAAAGATGTGTTTCTATAATAATTACATGTGAAATCTTTTTTTTCTGTCGTCTCCGCAGGAACAGGGTCACTCCGCCGGTCCCCAGAAGCCGCCCAGCACCAGCTAACATTTTCTGGAAGAACGTGTCCACAGCCCGTTCCCAACAAACATGGACAGTTTTCCCATGCTTTATTTTCTGTCGGTAAGTGAAACGTTCCTATCATTTAAATAGATTCATATGTAATCGACTTAGTGCACTTGTGGCTGCCATTTTCAACATTCATTCACTAAAATATGAGTAATTTAATTTGGATTTTTTTGGATTTTTCTTTTTTTGTACATTTTTTTCTACTATAATCTTTTAGTATCAATAAATTGGCTGAGGGTATCCAGTAGAATTGACTGGTAAACGCTCATCTTCCTTTCTTTTATTTGCATACATCCATGGAGACACAGCATTTATGCATTTGATCAAACACTGCAGGCAAAACTATAGCATCTCTACGGTAACTGACATATGGCACGGAAAAAGATGCAGTCATAAAAAGCTCATTTCAAGTTCACGTAGCACTAAAACCTTTTCAGATCTAACTCAGCCAACATTAGGATTCTATCAGGAGTACACTGGGATCACACCAGGACAAGCAAGAACAAAGTCTTACATTTGGAAGGCTTTTATCAAGATGAAACTTTGCTCCGACTGGGGGAGGGATGGAGAAAATTGACTTCAAATCTCCGAATCTGTGTTGAAATAGTGCTTATCCCCTGAAGTTAGTCTCCATAGGTAAACACATGGTTAGTTAGAGTCGCATGGACATGAACTAATTATAAGGGTTATTATGACTTTTTGATAACAACAGGTCCCGGGATTTGTTAAACATTTCCAATTGAACAATCAATCTGATCTCTTCTCATTACTTCTGTTGAAAAACATTTTTTACATCAAAAACTCAAAAGAAATGTAGAAAATGTGTACAAACTATCTTAAGAGGCAGTATGTATTTTTTCTAGTTCATGTCATACACTTTTTATTACTATCCCCTGTCATGCATAGATAAGCTGGTTTTCCGGAAAATACCGAAAATGCAAAATTACATTTCATATCCACATGACAATGGAAATGTGTTACTGTACTGACAGACAATTCCATTTAGGTTTGTGGTGAAAAGAGAAGGTTAGTTAGATAGCTGTTGTTAGCATATCGTCTTTGCCATCCTCAAATTTGGCTCCAGATTCCCACCCAGGGAGCCTGATAGAGTTTGTTCAAATCAGCTTCTTCAGTAATAAGTCAAACAATATGGGTGACGCCACCCCACGGCAGTCCACTCCTTCTGCTGTCTATGGTTTTAATGAACACAGTTAGGCCATGTCCGCACGTAGCCGGGTATTTTTAAAACCGAATATTTCCCCCCCTCCGTTTATAAAATATTTTTCATCCACACATAACCGAACAGCTGCGTTTTAGAAAATGCAAAACTCTGTATATCTCTGTCTACACGCAAATGCATAAACTGAGTTTTCAAAAATCTCGACTTTGTCCGGAGGTTTTTTATATATTCGTTTATGATGCCTTGTCATGTGGAAAAATATCTGCGGTTTAGCAGATTCCCGGCTACGTGTGGACGGGGTGTTAGAATGCAGATATGCCCAGAGCTAATTGAGAGAAAGTGAAGTTGTACAAAAGGGGAGGGGGAGTGCATCAATCAATCAATTTTATTTATAAAGCACATTTCATACCGTGCAATTGTTTTAAAACCCAATATATAAAACTCAGTCATACGCACAGCCAAAAAAAAGAGTGGAGACTTAGACTTACACAATGCTAGAGATGAGGCCTCCTGATATTTGGGACATGTGTGGATATCTGATGAGGATAAAACTCGAGGCAAGTTAGGTTAGATAGGGGATTTTCCATAACATATATATTTATTAATCCTTGATCTTCAAAACATACCAAACGTGGTGCTCATCACTTGTTTGCCTTCTCCCTAGAGACATCATGATTCCTGGTAATCGAATGCTGATGGTCATTTTAATATGCCAAGTCCTGCTGGGAGAGAGCAACCATGCTAATCTGATACCCGAGGAAGGGAAGAAGAAGGTTCCGGGAGTCCGCGCTGGTGGGGACCCTCAAAGCCATGCCCTGCTGCGGGACTTCGAGGCCACGCTCCTGCAGATGTTCGGCCTCCACAGACGGCCCCGCCCCAGCCGAGCGCTCACCGTACCCCAATACATGCTGGACCTGTACAGGCTGCAGTCCGGAGAGGTGGAGGAGGACCAAGCCTTCCAGTACCCAGAGAGGTCCGCCAGCCGCGCCAACACCGTGAGGGGATTCCACCATGAGGGTAGGCATGGGAATATCATAATATATTGTATGTTGAGACTGGACGGCTGTGAAAACTGGGGGACCTATACATTTTACTAATAATGATGATAATGAAGCGATAATGATAATGTATTGTTTCAGTTCAGTTTCAGTTTATTTATTTACAGTTAGGGCAGAAGTAAAAAAACGTGTGCGCCCATTGCATGTTCATGATACAAAAGTTACCAAAACATATTTTTTAATGAATAAACACAACAACAAAATCATTCAGTTCGGTATCCGTCCAGGATCGACTGTGACAATTTTTTTTTAAATACAAAAAAAAAAGAAAAAGAATTACATACATTCATTTCTCTGCTGAGATTGTTCCACAACTGAGGCCCATGAAACTGGTTGGTTTTTTATATATATATATTGGTTTTATATAGTTTATATAGACACTTAAATTTGCTTCACATGTCATTATTCTTTCACTCTATACACGGTGGTGATAAACTACTACTGGAGCCACAGCTGCCCTGGGGCACACTGACACAAGGCTGCCAGTATGTGACATCGGCCTCTCCGACCACCACCAACCATTCACACACACACACCAGACTCATTCTATGTCAACTATGTCATAAAATGAATCTAACCTCTGAAGTTTCTCGCCCCAAAATCACATCTTTTTCAAGCAGAAAACTCCAATCACCTCCTAGTCAAAAGCCTCCGATCTTTCCAATTATGTGAAAAAGTATATGTTTTCCAATAATAATGAAGACAGCGAGACTCTTCTCATTGAAACAAACAACATGTATTATTTATGAAAACATTTTTTAGATCTGAAAATTGATCCAAAACAATACTGACAAATATGAAAGTTACTACTGTATTCAGTCGAGCCCTGTCCCTTTCAGAATATTAACGGCCACATCAAAGGCCTCAGTTACAAAAATAGATCAAGACTCGAAGCATAAAGGTCCGCCAATGATTCAGCTGTAGATCTTTCTGCATTCTGTTAAAAAAAAAATGTTCCAGATTGCTTTTTACAATTGTCGGAAAAAGTAAGTGTTCTCATTCAAATCAATGGCCGTGATGAATCTATTATCTACACTTTGCCACCTGCAGCTACCCCACAAGGCGCAAGGCATTATGGTATTGCTCAAGTTAATATGACTTGACCGAACATGATCATCTTTCATGTTTTTTTGTATTTAATGCTAAAAATAGTTTTGCAAAAGTTGTGTTACAGTGTATTGCACCATAAGGGACCTTTTGAAAGCTCCTAGCCATTAGCTCACTTTTATCTGCAGATCAACACTCCCATCGCAGCCTTTGAAAAACCTTCTTGGATTCAAACTACCACTTCTAATTTCAGCGCGACTGACTTGACAACTTATTTTGTCTAGCGTTCTGTCATCGCCGTCGAAACTGCCCCATTGGATTGCGTCATTCCCATGTTTTCATAAACTTGGATTATCCCCTCGCTTCGCCAAGCATCCAGCAGTCCAACCATCTGTGAAAAAGTCTTTGCATATGCACCGGGCCTCGGCTGCTAAACGCATTTCCTACATCCCTTGAAACACGATTTTTAAAGCCACCCCGCCCGAAACCATGGAGGATGTGGTCACCGAGTAGAAAGAGGAAAAAAATGTGCAGGACAAGCTTTCCAGAGTGTGCGGAGGGCTAGCAGCTGGAGCTAAAAGGCATACCTCGAGATTATGGCTTGGAACAGGGACCCCACCCAAGTGTCTGGGCTCTTTCTTGTGTCTTTAAGTGTTTGCACGGAGGCTCGTTTGGAAGGGCTATCCCCAACGTGCAATTATCTTTAATTCTTACTCTGTGCTCCTGTCTAAATAAAACCCGCCTTCCAACAATGTGGGACGCAGCTCTCTCGGGACGTGGAAAAACAAGACGAGGGAAAAGTCTCAAGGGAATTTTAGCAGCGAGAGTCGTGCATTGGTTTGGTTAAAGTAAACATCTATGCAAAATGTCTGATTAACAAATTAAAGGTTACTTTCATTGAAAAGGGCTAATTGCTAAACTTCAGAATCCAAATTTAATGAAGTAATATAATTTATCACTATAGGCTCTTTTGCTGGTCAGAACAGCAGATCTGATAAACCCAGTTCCATTCCTTACTTCATTGTGGCTATCCATTGGTAATATACAGCAGAAAATACTCTCGGCCAAAACTGCTTTGGACCTACAGTTTCCACATAGCTGGATTTTGTGGCCATAGTTATCCCATATATCTAGATAGTCATCTATAAACTCACACTTCTGCTCATAAACATCATCCTGCTCCATCAGTTTTGCTCTGGTCTAGACTGTAGAAGGAGTGGACTACATGACTGCTGACGTCACCCATAGTGTTTAGAGGGAGAAGCTGATCTGAACAACGGCCATATTGCCTTGTGTTAAATCCAAAGTCTACAAATGGGCATTGTTATAGGGTGACCCACTTGTCGTAGCAGGGGCAGATGCCAAATTAACTGTTCCGAAGCCTGGTTGTGACTTCTAATCCCAATATTAGCATAATTGTATACAGATTTTGTTGAGTTCCAAGCAGTAGCAGCAGACTTTCTCTTATGTGTTTTATTGTTGAATATGTGTCAAGTAACATCATTAGGACCCAGTATGTATGAACCAAGTACGTATAATGGGTTATAAGTGAGGTCTTGAATGTAAGAACATGAAAGCCCCCATTTAAATCAAGTGTTATAAGAGCTACACATGGATTTATTTCTGCCCGCGACCTGCTTTCTAACAGTGTGGCAAATCAATGACATCATCAAACTGGTATAAAATCATGCCCAGGGCTTGTCGACAGTTTGGTCTCACGGGGGTGGACTGAAGGTGGCATGAGTCAGCCTTAATAAGTCTGCTTACATATCAAACAGGTGACAACATACAACAATAAACAAGAAACGTCACAGAATCTTAATAAATCGCATTGTAGTCATAGTTAACAGGCGTCTAATTAATCCATTCCTCTCCAAAAAGAAAGTATTTGGATTGTCTATAGGCTCCTCAATCTCTACTTCTATTATTTATTTTGTCACAGTGTATAGAACTAATTACCATACTATAAATTACTTAAATTGGGTTTTTTTGTGTTTTCATTCATGTCAGTTAGATAGTTTTAAATGTTAAATGACGTATATGACGTAAGTAAGTAAGTAATCAGCAATGAGTGCCTGCTGATGGAATGTATTTGTATTTTCCCTTTAGTTAAACCAGATCTATTCGTTCATTCTGGTAAACAATGGAGGATGGACATTATAGTTTTGGTTAAATATATACGATAACCATTGAGCCCAAGTTTTACAAAGCTTTGTCCATATTATGTATTTTATCATTTGATTATTGCATAGACTTTTATGTGAATACTGATTTATAGTTTCTGCATTGTTTTTGAAAATGTAAGTCATGACCACGGAAGAAGCAATACTTTTGATTAAAAATGGTATTATTAATTCCCATTATTACATAGACGAGAGATTTTTTTGTTAGTCCTTTGCAGGTTCAAACATCCAATTTGTGTTAATTTACCTACATAAAAAGTCAGAAAAAGCCTTAAATTTTACTTTAAACCCAACACTCTGATTTTAGCAATACAGGATTGTAATGTGGATTGTGGACTACATTTCAGAAATGCGGGTTACTGCTGCATCCTCAAACTTCATTGGCATGGCGACAACACAATCTCAATGAAGACGGGGTTTTTTTTTTGGTTTCCAACTGGACTGGACTCGACCTTCAGCTCTTCTATCTACCCTCTGCCTCTCGCCCTGAACAAACATGGACGCGCACTGTGATGCAATGTTGTTCCTCCCGCTGTCTTCCCCTCCTTCTCCGTCTCCCAACTATGTTAATAACAAGCTGTGAGGACTTTTAACTACGACTGCTCGCTTTCATCTGGACCCCATTGTGCGCCAGGGCGATCCGGCTGACTGATTTATCCCAAACACAACCCTGCGACACATGGACGGCCCAGCTCTGACTATATCATTAGAAAAACATTATTGTTCCAGGTGATAGCGGTGTTATTCATTCATTTCGCCTCCCTTTGGCGGATTAGGGGTTTGAGCGCGCGGCTTGACAAGTGTAAGACGGATCAGGGCAGGGGCACAGCATGTTAAATAAACTTCTGAGAAATGGGTGTTCCACAATGTGCGACTTGGACCCATTGATGTTTGATTGCAGATATAGTAGAAATGAGTTGTCTTAACCCTTTAATGTTCACTTCTTTAACAAAGCCAGGTACACATTTTTATATGTAGGAACACTAATAAAAAGGCCTCTACACAATGATTAAGACACCGTTTGATGGTAAAAAACCACGGGATAGAATGATTTCTGTTCCAAGCTTCAAGTAGAGAGGGTTAGGCTTCAAAATATGATCCAGCAAATGGTTGAGCAGACCATTCAAGTGAAGGTTGGTTACTTTTCAAATTATGAAGATTTTTTTTAATTATTAAAGCGCCAGTTAGACCCGCCCCCTCTGGTTCCTGGTTGGACGCAATTAATTCAAATCCCTGATAAACAACTGAAGCCCCTCGCCTTTGGTCTAATTATTCTCCTCTAGGGAATAACCTGTTTTAGATATATTTATTATGAAAAATTCATTAGATTCAGATGATACCACAGGGTCATATGGGCAAACATGTATATTCTTTTCTAAATACAGTTGGAGTTGGTTCATCTTTAATGTTCAAATTAAGAAAAACATGTCATTTGTAGCATTATAGATAATTAATGGTTTTAATTTTTTATTTTCTTAGTGTAAAAAATATGTTATTGAATTCATAGGGGCGAGCACGGTTGTGGGATTTGGGAGTAAGCCCATATCTTTTTCTGAGATAAACCTTGAAGAGCGTTATAATCAATGCTTTTGATTGATCAATTTGAAAAGCATATAGGCGCATATTTCTTTACAATTATGGCTGTTTGTACGACAAACTGCACCAAACTTGCCTTTCAAAGCTAAAATCCAAAAGCTTTTGTGACTGAATTTTCAAAACTTTCAAAAAAGTCTGAACTAATATTGATGCAATACTTTTGTTTTAAAAGGCTCTATCCTCAGAGTTACAAACTGGAAAATTGCCAGCCTTATAAGATTGAAAAAGAAGGGATTATTTTGCAAATGCCATTAGAGGCTGTGGATGGAGCGGCATGTTTTTGATGAGGGAACAAAGTGGTGACAGTAAAAGCAACAACAACAAAAACCATGTCTCTCCATTATATATGTGCTGTTTAAACGCAAGCAAAGCAAAGCTGGCCTATAGCTAATCAGTCCCGCAGCAGTTTTTAATAATACCAAGCACCTGGTGGAGATTACGGGCTGGGTGTGAAATAACAGGGCCGGAATGAGCAGGAAAAGAGTAGACACAACATTCCTTTCCCCCCCAACAATGGTGATCTTGGCAGAAATGTGCGCAGCGAGCCTGTTTTTACTGTAGCTGCGGTACGTTAATCACCACCCTCCTCCTCCACAACGCATGTCTGAGCACAGGGACACTCCGGACGGCCGGGGAGAGGGGAAGAACGGGGGGTCGGCCGGGGCAAGGGGTGATAGATAGGGGAGCAGACGATTGATGAATGCGAGCGAGGGTGGAGCAGTGCGAAGGCGGTTGTGTTTAAAGCCATGGGAAATTGTCTAAAACTGTCGCCTCTGAAAGATCTTTTCTCAACACCTAAAGTCCTTGATTTCTCCATTTCTGAGCTTTAAGTGAATTGAGGAGAGGAAAGGAGACTTTGATTTGCAACTTTCACAAGGAAAGAACTTGTTGACTCTTGTTAGATTGGTTTAGCTCGGCAATATGTCTTTATATGACCGATCATTTGTTGCTGTCTGTGTATGAACTGCTGGAAGTTCAGGTTTTACTGTTTTTTGGGCTTTCAAAATAGACTAGGTACAAAAAGGGTTGCACTTTTTTATTTAAAGTTATGTAGGAGGATTTTCTCACATTTTAGGAAAGAATAACCCTATCCACTTTTTGAAAACAACTCTCTGGTCTTATTTGACGTACAACCAGAATGATTGACAATTTAAGTTGGGAGAGTAATCAATTCATTTAATTTAATGACTTATTTCATGTTTAATTTAATTGAAGATCAATATTGAAAAGCAAATGTTGAACAGAAAACCAAAGCATTCTGTAAATCAATCGAATTAAGACATACATTTATAATATGCTGCATCTAACTACTTGTATAAATACATTTTGTAGTGTAAAGTCGCAGGGCCCAGGGGCACTGCAGAGTGTACTCCAAACATGAGAAAACAGGGAGTGGAGTGACAGCCCATTGTTGGTGTCAAAAGGCCACAAGTACGAGTAATTGCTCGGCAGAATATTAGGTGATCAAAGGCAGAAGGAGTCCTGTTTCAAGATGTCGTCAGAGCAGAGATGTTTACCATAAACATTTGATCAGAGTTGGAGAGTTCGCCTCTTTTAAATTTAAGGTGCCAATCTTTGCCCCATAAATAATACATTCAGGTTGTCTCAAAAGAAAGAGTCTTGTCAAATTAGAAATACATTGTTCGCCTTATTAGAAACATCTTATCATTTTGTGTGCTTGTAAGAAAGAGCCATAGAAGTCACATTTTGACACTAAAGCTGGTCCTCTCTATTTCCCTTTTCTGTCTAAAAGCGAAAGATGTGATCAGGGATTTTTCCATAATTCAATGTTTTGTGAGTTGGAAGTTAGGTACCAAATCTCTCAAGAGTACAGTGTATGCTTTTAATCAGGACGTAGACTTGTTTGCACTTTAATTTTAAGTTTGTAACTTCCTGTTAGTTTTAGATAAGGGCTGAAACTGGTGAATAAAACTTGAAACACAACAAAGGCTTAAGGCTAACTCTTAACAGTTTGTTGCTAGTGTAACTCGTACTGGCTCGTCTCTCGGAGTTAAAGGTCAAACTCCTCACGTTTCAAAAACACAAGGTAAATTAATCAAAATAATGACATAGAAATGAACTGAATATATACACAGAAAAAGTCACAAAGTTATGAAGACTAGAAACGTACATACACTGAGTAATTACACTTCCATAACTAAAAGCCGTCAAATTGACTGCTCTGGGAGTTCTCCAGGAGCAAACATCTCTAACTACTCGTCTGTTCTTCCACAGAGCACATGGAGCGAGTGGAAGGCGTCCATGAGCAGCAGCAGCAGAAGCCCGCACCTCTCCGCTTCCTCTTCAACCTGAGCAGCATCCCGGAGGACGAGCTCCTGACGTCGGCCGAGCTGCGCTTATACCGCGAGCAGATCCGGGACGCGCTGTCCGAGGAGCCGGGCCTCCACCGCATCAACATCCACGAGGTCGTCAAGCCCCCGCAGCCCGGCCGACCGCTCATCACCCAGCTCCTCGACACACGCCTGGTGCGCCACAACTCGTCGCAGTGGGAGAGCTTCGACGTCAGCCCCGCGGTTCTGCGATGGACCCGCGATCGCCGACCCAACTTTGGGCTGGCCGTGGAGGTCGTGCACCTTAACCAGACCCCGCGCCACCAGGGGAAGCACGTCCGAGTCAGCCGCTCGCTCCACCAGGAACCCGGGGAGGACTGGGAGCAGCTGCGACCGCTCCTGGTGACTTTCGGGCACGACGGGAAGGGCCAGGCGCTGGTCAAGAGGTCGAAGCGAAGCCCGAAGCAGAGGGGCAGGAAGAGAAACCGCAACTGCCGACGACACGCGCTGTACGTGGACTTTAGCGACGTTGGGTGGAATGACTGGATAGTGGCGCCGCCCGGGTACCAGGCGTATTACTGCCACGGGGAGTGTCCGTTCCCGCTGGCTGACCATCTGAACTCCACCAACCACGCCATAGTGCAGACGCTGGTCAATTCGGTCAATAACAACATTCCCAAGGCGTGCTGCGTGCCGACAGAGCTGAGCGCCATCTCAATGCTTTACCTGGACGAGCACGACAAAGTGGTGCTTAAGAACTACCAGGAGATGGTGGTGGAGGGATGTGGCTGCCGCTAGGACTGTATTCCATCTGCAAACGCTCGCTCGGACCCTTATTTATAATGCTTATGTTGAGGTGTATGTTTGTCTCACTCTTGTTTGTTTTTCTCGACAATATGATCATATATTTTGACAAAATATATATATTTATATCTACATATTAAAAAAATAAATTGAGTTCTTATTTTAAACATAAAAGCTGTACAACTTGTCATCATGTGCTTTAGATTGTATGAGTTTTTAATGGATGAAAAGTATTTATTGGTAATATTTATTGGTGATAATTATTGCGTAAGATGTGGACTGAAAAAGAGCTTGACAGTCGCACTTTTGTTAGGTCCCAGCTCAGGATTTCAAACAGATACTAGTAAATAGTGGAAGTAGATATAGACATAGGGAGGACGCAAAAGTAGATTAAAGTTATATGTTTTATTAATATTGTAGCGTTTCCAGTCAGGACAAAAGCCAAAGAAATAACAATTTCACACAGTCCAGTTGAAATTCTCGGACAGAAAAGGGAAAGTGGAATGCAATGTGATTCTCCAGTCTACATTTATACAGACATTACTATAATGTTACGAATGAGTTTTAGGGCACGACCATGGACTGTTCACATGATTTGACATATTTCACTTTTTTATTGTAATTTATTCTTGTGCAAAGGGAGGGGAAAACACACAACTCATTAAACACAATTACGCAAGACTTAGCCAAACATTGTGGGAGATGAACAGTGAGTTTAGTCTCTCCATTGGGTTGATTATTGTGATTGAGAGAAGTGTAGCTTTGACACAACCCCAGTAAAAAAAACTACAAACTTGGCACTTTCTTTAAGACTAAAAGTCACTGGCTTCTAGTTTAGAGAGTTGTTAACCATTTTCTTTCACAGATACTGTTCCAACGCTTAGAGAAAGAGCAAAGTCATTGATTTTTGAAATACTTGTCAACAATTATAGTAATCCAGTAAGACAAGATCATCTGTATTTGTGATTGTGGCGATTAGGAATAAGGAACACACAATCCACTTTGTTTCTTCACGCACAAATAAATATATAAAACGTAAAACATTGTGTGAGCAAATCTGACCACAACCATGTTATCTTTTGCATTCTTGTAAAAAGTATTATTACACTATTTGACTCTTTGGTCGGAGAACATATTATCTGAGTGAGGGTGGTCCTATTTTTCAAACTACTGTCTTAAAAAGCTGATCTAAAGACGTAACAGAGGCCAAATATACATGCATGTGAGCAATGGAACTACTTATGCCGATGTTACTGCATAGTTTCATGGGGTTTGTAAGTTAGATACCCCAGCTTTAAGAGTAGCTAACTTCTTCTTTCAACCATACGCAGACTACAATATGCTTTGGAGTTATGTAAGAATGAGCTTAGAGCAGCTCCCTTTGCAACCACAACAAAATGCTATATATGTTCGGCCTCTGTCACTTCTTTAGATCTGCTTTTTGAGTGATAAGGAGAACTCTCAGTATCCTACATTTTGAAAGTTTTGACAGCAGGTCGTGGTCCGATTTGTTCACAAAATGTTTCTTAAACAAGACTCTTAATATTGGGACAAACTTTATTATGAAACTCAAAAATAGGTAGCTAAATAACATTGACCACAAGTTAGAGACAGTTTGACACTGAAGAATTATACTGAAATATGCATCGCCAATAGATGCATTTGCTTTACCCTTAAGATAACCAAAAAACAACTGACTTCTGTTTACTATTTTATGTATTTATTTGATATGGACACAACAGTTACATTGGACAGACCAGATGTGTTATAGCAAGACCATGCCAATTTTTAACACTTGTTCATTGAAGGCTTTTGTGGTAATGACCAAATTACAAGATACAAGAATTAATTTGTCATTTGCAGTAAAACCATATTGGAAAAACTGTGCAAGACTACCCCAGTGTGCCCTAGAATGACATAAATGCAAAAAAAATCCATAATACCTTGTTTTACTGTTTATAAACCACCAACCCAGGCTTTGACATACTATAAATCCCCCCGAGTCGTCGATGTTGCCCCCACGTCTCTTTGTTGTTGCCTTGTCACTAGCAGCGCACACCTTTTCGTCAGGACCTGTTTACGTTGACACATGCCTCAGGGACCCTTTGTCCTCTCATTTCACTTTTATGTCAATTAGTGTATCCTGAGGTGCTTGGACGCTCGCTAACCGGCCAGGGCTCTATTGTTCTCTCGCTCTGCACTTTGGGGGCACGTCTCTGGCCTGTCCCCCTTCCTTCAAAGTCTCTGTCCCGGCGGGAATCAAAGCTGAGACGCGGTGTCTGCTGCCTCCTTTTGTCTCCAGGCCTAGACTCATGTCTCCAGCCCATGGCCCTCACACAATGACCCCCAAGACTGCAGCCCCGCGTCATCCCCGTGTGGAAGTGACGGCAGGACGGCGCGCAGTTTGGTGCGAAAGGTTGTGAACGTTAAAGAAAAGTACAGCAAGGTAGAGAAGGGATGGTGACTGACCAGAAAGTACAATACATGCTCAGGCTTAAAAAGACAGGATGGCCCCATTATAGTTTGATAAGATAAGATTAAAAAAAACTTCATAGTACATTTGGCATAAATAGGATCTCTCAGGGTGTGCATAAGACAGGAAATGTGCAAATATGTTAAAAAGTGACAAATATATAGAATATTGTATGTGCAATAAATGTATTTTATGAATAATTATAAAAGTGACTTATAGGAGTAGCATCACATTTGTGGAATTAGATGTTCCCCTTTCAAAATCCAATTGAAATTATGAACATATTCTGCTATTTACAATTAAAACATACATATCACAGTGAAGTACTTTGGGATATTCTCACAGAGATACAAGGGTTTTATGCCAAACTGGAAGATTACAGATTAAGGGCGGACATTTCCATGAAAAAAGGATGAGGACAGAGTATGAGTCGTGATTGGTGTGGATTCAGGTAAGCACTGCTGTTAACTGGAAGTGTTAATGAGCTTTTATGCCAATATATCTATATCTATCTGAGTCGATAGATAACGTGTGTGCACATAATCACTGCTGATTATACTCAGCTATAGGCAGCATCTCACAGGGAGGGTGTTTAAACTGTTTGGCTGCTCCATCATTCTCCCTTTTCTTATGGAAATAAAACATCTGAGGGTTAGAAATCCCCTAATGAGCTGCCAAAAGCCACAGCTATGACATTCATGGTCTGTGTCTTTCTATACAGAAATATTATTGTAATAATTCATGCATTTATAATTTGACTAATTTCACAATACAAACTCTAATAAAATGGGAATATATGCAGAATAGCTCTCAGAATATGTCAAATGTTAAATGCAACATTGTTCTCTCATCAGAAACAAATCAGGAATTGGATTTGTTAAGGCTACCATTCACAGCGAATTATCAAAATATACCCAAGAAATCAGATAATCAGAAACTATGACGTAGCAAGAGAGGGCAGTGGTTGTTGGGTGCCTCTTTGCCCCGCCTTCTCTTTGGTGTGTGTATCTGCGGCGCTCTGACACAAAAGAGGACAGGCCTCTCAGCAAGGGGTCAGAGATGGAAGAATTTAATTTAGAAGTGGCTCTGAGTGTGTGTGTGTGTGTGTGTGTGTGTGTGTGTGTGTGTGTGTGTGCGTGTGTGCGTGTGTGTGTGTGTGTGTGTGTGTGTGTGTGTGTGTGTGTGCGTGTTGGTTCAGAGCAATAACATCTTCAGGAGCTCTCCCCTCTCCTTTCCAGATAGCATCAGTCGGTTATGCTAATGCTGTTTGTTCATTATCCCATTGAGAGGAACAAAGGAGACAATTGTTTTTTAAAGAGAGCAGGTCAGAGCTCATTGTGTGATCGATGTGCACTGAGCCTGAGAAGCAACTGGAGACTCCAGGTCAGGGCTGGATAATTATATGCAAAGAACTAAACGGAAACATCAGAAATATATGGCAATTGTTTGGTTTGGGTGCCAACCTGAATGTTCTCACTGTCTTGACCCGACAGTGCAGCATGGGGCGATGTCGGCAGGTGGCTGAGGGTGTTCTCCTTCATTTGGAATGAAATAAGTTTCAGATTTCTCCTGAAAGGTTTCACTGCAGTGTACATTCAATGCACAAAAAGGTCCTGATGTTTCACTGTGACTTTTACTTTGTTCATCAGAACAACTGCAAAACAAAGATAGGCCAGATCATGGCTGGCAGGAACTTCTAAACGTTCTCGCTCCAGTCCCAGGCTTTAAGCAGTCGCTATATTTCAATACTCTTGCTCTCATGAAGTCAAAACGTGCTGTTTATGTCCCATCGGGTTCAACATTTACCATTTAACATTTAAGGCGCAAGATGGTGGTGATAAACTACTAGTATCGCTACAGCTGCCCTGGGGCACGCTAACAGACGCAAGGCAACCACCCCGACCCACACACCTGACTCATTCTAGGCAATGTGGGTGAAGTGTCTTGCCTAAGGACACAACAACAGTTGCATTTTCCAACCACTCCACAATGGCACCTGGAGATCCATGAGGTCTCCCATCAAAAAAGTATCTCTTAATCTTAATCTTAAAATAGAGAAAAATATATATATATATATATATACATTTATTTATATTTATATATGTATATATATAATACATCATATTTGCTGTAGCCATTCCCTCCACCTGGTTCCTAACAGGCCCTTGTCACGCACGCTGGACCAGGACACACCGCCCGCCGCTGCCTTCCACACGGCTTCACTAATTGACCAGCGAGCGTCTTCAAACAGCTTTTATTTGGACGTTCTTGAGTAAAAAGCCCAGTGTTTACAGCCCAGTTACAGGAACAAAAGGGCGCGAGGGGAGGGCGCCACACTGCAACAACGGGCAATGTCAGACTTCAAGTGACTTCCAGGTTATTATTGAGCTGCATCTGTGTGGACCGACGTCTGTGGGCATTTTATAGGAGATTTATGCCCAAAAAGGTCTTTATGGTTTCTCGTGTAGATTAAGATTATGAGATTCTTTATTAGTCCCACAGTGGGGAATATTCAGTGTTG